GTGTGCCTTGGCACTACCAGGATGACTGACAGACGTTCTCGTCTCACCCTCTCCAGGAGGAAGAGAATGAGACGCAGCGGTGGAAAGGCGTAGACTGTAAATAGGGCAGAATAGAGCCCAATGTACTGGACAGAGGCTCTGGACTCTCCTCCTCGCACCCACGTTGGAATCCCAACCAATTCGTCCTGTAACAGGCTCTTGCTGCCTGGATAGGCTGTATAACATTGTCAGACAGTCTACCTCTTCTTGGCCTGTCCCTCTCAGGAGCCAAGCCTGGAGTGGTTGGCCCAGAGTGGGTAATGCCCCTATGGCACTGCGGAGGAATGGCGTAGAGCAGCTATCTTGGCCATGGGCTCGTGTGCCAACGTGTCCATCCCCAAGGGTGGATTGTCCTGCCGAGCCAGGGAGAACCCCTGCTTTGTATGTCGGGGGCGGGAGATTCATGGGATTGGTTGTTGGTCGCGTTACTCCTAAAAAATCCCCAAGCTTCAGATACGCCTACCTCCAAGATTTTTTAACGCTGCTGTGTGGGCGTACCGTTACAGCGGGGCGGCAAGTGTGGGACAGCATACGGCCAAGCTGCGACTGTTCCTCATCCACGTGACCGAGGAAATTGATCTAAAGAGCCCTTCCGTAGACAAGGGGCTCCCAGGAGATCATCACGGCTTTTTTTGCCCACACCATGGACCAGGATATTAATTTGTCCGATGCTGCGGCCAAATAATCACTCTGATCTGGTGAGGTGGGGGCATCTTGCGGAAGAGCAATCAGCAAGACGCCCAACATACCCACCCGTGTTATTTGCAGCTGGCCTGTCACGCGGCAGCGGGGCAGAGGTACTCCGCCCAGTCTGCTGCCAGTGGAAGCAGATGGGGTGCCAGGCTCATATCAAGGGGGCACACGCTGGGACATGCTTTGTCCGTGCGGCCCTGCAACCTGAGCGGTGGACTTCCATGGGTCCTGAAGTCCCCGACAACGAGAAGTCCTCGTCATCCTCCTCCCCAGCAAACAGAGCCATCTGCCCCGCTGGAATGGCGAACGTGAATGGCACCGCCTTGGTCACGAAGGACAGGCCCGGGTCTCTAGAAGTGGTGACTCCATGAAGGTATGATAACTTCTTCCTTCTTCTTTCAAACGTTTTACTCTGTCAGGTGTTGTCCTGCTTGTGAAGAGGATATCTTTCATGAATTAAGGACAGACCTTTTACAATCAGTTGTAATGGTGAGTATCAAAACACCTCATCAAACATTGAAAAACTGAGATAACACATATCTGACCAAATATCCCTTTAAAAAGGAAATATATCAATGGCACTCCAACCAAACATCAGTGTTTGTTGGAAGATGTTTGACTGGTGTGCCATGGGCTTTATCTCATCCAATATCTTATCTGAGTGTCTATGAGCAGCTTGTCCTTTGAAAGCATGATCATAAAGCTCAGTGAGCTTATGTATTAGAATATATTAAGGGTTATTAACATACTATGCTCAGTAAAACATATAGCATTAGTATTTCAATGTAGAGCATATTATAGGTGTAGAAATATAATCAAAATGACTTTACTGATTCCACCAGGAAAATAAGTAGTCTTGTACCTTGTGCGACTTCAAAGCAAACTCACCTCCGACCTTAATCACAGCCGCTTTTGATAATGAATATTTCAGATGCTGACAGATCAGTTTCAAGCTGAGTGTGTAATTCATCAAATGCGTAGCTGACTCCATTCTTTGGTAGAAATCCCAATGTCCGCATGTTACCGTCAAAGAGATCCACTTAAAACTAATTGACCCAGCTTTTAAAAAATCTCACCTGTCATGATAAACTGCTTTGTTAGGTTGATATAGTTAGCACTAGTGCCATTTGGAGAGCTGACACCAATGTATTATTCTGCAACAATGGGCAGCAATCATCATTTTAAACAAGGGCAAACGGTAGTCATCTTGATTCACTGGATGGTTAATTTTGTAGCAAGAATAAAACATATTGATTGCCAACGCTACATCTTTTCTCAGTTGTCATCTGGACTACTGCAACATTCAAACAGTGTGCAGCAAAAAAAAGTCAAATTATTAACAAATGTTCTCAACTCAGTGATGAAAAGCAGTTCTGATACTGATGGGCTTAGCGGCAGTGACAGAACTAGAGCAATTCTGACAAATATTACATTTCCTCTTCTTCATTATCGCTTAGTGAGGAGGCTAGAGCAGCATATTTCCTGATATGTTTAGAATCCAGAAAATAAATATAGCCTAAAAATTGACTTCAGTCTGAATGACACTACATATCCTTAACTCAGCTCCACTTTCTGGTACACACACGCTGAGGTACAGCCCTCTGTTACAGATAGTGACTGTTAGACATCCATATTACTCACAGGCCAGGAGCATTTGTCAAATCCAGAGCTGAAATGTACACTTCTATGAAGAGTAATGTCTAAATAAAAGGAGCTTGGCTGCCAGTCTGTGCCAGCCCTGGCTATTATGAAAACCTAATGGTGTAAAGAAGTGAGGGAATATCTTCTGCTTGTTCTCTAATATTGGCATATTTACCAAAGCAACTTTTAGGTGAATGTGCCTTTATTAACATAATAAGTGCTGGTGTTAAAACGTCTATGTTAATTATTGACAATGGATCAAATGACATGATACGGATGATGTCAAAATAGATAATACGCTCCATAGCTCACCACACTGTGTTTACCAAATTGTTCTGCTCTTAGCATCGTTAAATAGAAAAAACTCAGCACCAAACAGCATGCAGACAAAGTTAGCAACTAGCAGGTGAACAAACAGACTATTTAGGAATTATATGAGACCAAAACAAAACTGGAAGGAGGGTTAATATATTGGACATCCAGAGGCCAAAAATGCAACTACATATACATGTTAATGTGGCTTTATGTCTGCGTGATGTGTAAATAGGCAATTGCTTCCTCCTATGTTTACCATATATACTGTAAAAGGTCATAATATGTTAATGTGTAACATATTTTTCCACTGCTCCCAAGCGGCCAGCAAAATGAATTATGATGCATGTATGCAAACATGATTGATGTATTACTTATGATTCAAATGTTATATTAATCATACGAAAAGAGGACTTGCTATGTCATTAATGTAAACCTCATGAGAAAACATTCAATCAAGAAACAGTTGTTGGGTGATCCAATAGAAGAATGATTAGGGTTCATGCAACATAAGCAAGTTTCTGTGGCCAAATCGTTTGCAGCATGTCAATCCCTTATTCTTTTCTCTGCATTTCCTATCCATCTCCACTTTCACACTTGAAAAATATATATCAAAAGTGCCCAAAAAGTGATATAAAGGAACAGTTGCCTTCCAGGGACAGACTGCAGTCTCATTCACTACATTTCTGGATAGTCATTTACTGATAAAATACATAATCTAATGTGTGCCCGCAACGGCTGGCACAAACCATAACTAAACCCTAAGCACCCTTTATCAAAGGATAGCTTTATCATTTTTTTAAGTCATTAACTTTTTGTATTTCCCCATTGAGACTTTGAATATTTTAACAAAGAGAGGGAATGTAAAAATAAGCATTATATTATCCTCAGAGGAACTTTGGAATAGATTTTTGAATAAAAGAAGGACTGTGGATTTTGTCCCCCATCATTTAAAATGAAAATGCATTTGTATCTGTGATGATTTTATTGTCAGTATGAACAGAAGGAATGCCTACAGCAAAAATGTTAACATGTTAAGCTTCACCTGACTATTGTTTTTGAAAGGGACCTATGAAATGTATCCTCCAACCATAAAGAATCAATATTTCTAGTCCGTTACCTTAATTTCAAACAGTAGTGTTTGAGAGGTATTTTTTTTCAAACACTGCCTTCATTATTTATTACAGTCTTTGTTTCATCTTTTACAGACAGTCCTATAATTAGTCCAATAGAAATCAAAAGGGTAGATGATGCAACGTAAAGAAATCGATGTCTACCTGTTGCTCTCGTCCCAGACTGGCCCCTCCCCCTACGGCTACCACAGGAACCCCCGTCTGGGCGGAGACAAACTCCAGCATAGGGGCCAGAGGGGCCTGGTTCGGCGGTGGCGGTCTCTCCTCCTCAAACACCAAACCCTGGAAGTCAAGCAAAGGTTGCACAGTGAGACAAAGCACATCACACAAAAGGTTACATCAGCCTCATTGAGAGGGAATTTCATAAGCTTCTCATCACACTTCATTAAGCTGCCGCTTCTTTTATTCGTATGCACCAAGCTTGGAGAATAAATTAAAGGGTGAACAAGAGAGCTAAATATACGTTTAAGAAGTAATCCACATTTTAACTTGGAGATACTACAGTATGTTACATGTATCAGTCTGACATATACACTTGTACTTAAAAAGTAAAAGATGATGGTAAGAGGAACTCCCTCTGGTGTGGATTTGTGGATTTTAGCCATTGCAGTCCATTATCATGTACAACAACCTATATAATGGAAAACCCCATAAAAGCATATTAGGGCCCCTTTAATGTGAACATCATTTTAATTTTGCAGATTGTAAAGGTGGAGCCAACTTCACTGACTTTTTCTGCAGCCATGTATATTAGTCAAATCTTAATCCATTAGTCAATTTAGTTTTATTCATAATATTATGAACCTGCAAAATAAGTATTAATAAATATTTGAAAATAAAAGTAGTGAATAAAAAGTGCAAACTGTAGTTGAGTAGTAGTATGAAGTAGCATATAATAGAAGAAAGTAGAAGTACCTCAAAAATGTACTTAAGTACAGTACTTGAGTAAAGGTACTTTACACTACTGAAATATGAGTATGGTCCTAAACCTTCAACAGAATAAAGTACATCTTCTAATACAGATTTAAAGAGGGTCTATTATGCTTCTTGCAGTTTTCCCTTTCCTGCACTGAATTGTATAGGTTTGTGTGCATGTAAATGGTCTGAAATGGCAAGAGATTTGCAGAGACAAATCTCTAGGCAGTTGACCAATCACAACAGAGTCGGCCAGCTAACCAATCAGAGCAGACTGGCCTCTGGTTTCAGACAGAGGGTGAAAAGAGGTGCTGCAGCACAGGCAGTATGATAAAAATAAGCAATGTTTGAACATTAAAATTTGTAAACATGTCACAGTAGAGGCACAAAATAGAAATATGAACCTGAAAATGTGCATAATATCTCGTATTTATAGTTCTTAAAAGGCTAGCACATGTGTATTGCTGAAAAAACATGTTCTGGTTTAATTAAGTATTGGAACAGCTGTTGGAGGCTTTTCAAAAATGGGACTTCTGTGCTTCTCTGATTGGCAATCAATGTTCACAGAGATAAAATCGAGAAAAGTCTCTGCAGTGGACTGGCATCCTGTCAGGAGAAGAGTGTGTGTTGTATCTGCACAATTTAAGCTGCTTCACAACACAAACACAACAGATAAGCTCCTGGATTATAGGCCGACTCACCTCCTACAGGGCTTACTAACAGACGTGGCTGTTGCATACATACGTCTGCAAACATACTGCTGCTTTTATAAGAAGGCTCTGGTAGCTGTGGTTTTGCTTTGATTACCTCTCATGAAAGAACTGTCAGCAGTGGTAATGAATTGAGGATAAATGCATCAAGTTGTGGAAATTGCCAACACTTTCCCTAATGTTATGAGGAGGAGCAATAGTGATTTTGTGGCTGGCTTGATGACTTTACTCTTGTTTTTATGTAGCGATTCAGGGGAGCAAATGAAAGCTAATAGAAGCTGACAGCTCAATTCTCAAAGGGAAGCATTTGATAAGAAAATAGGCTACAGACAAGACCTGGAAAATACGACGACGAATGTTATTTAAAAGAGTTAATACAGTACTTGATCTAGGATGTTTATAACAAAACCTTTCCAGTGTTCTGACATGAAGACACATACAAATTAATGAATGAATACATGAATGATTACATGAATCAATAGCATGGCATCATTATTCGTTACCTTCGCCAGTTTGATCACAAGGAGCTCAGATTCGAGGTGCGGACTTCCATCCACTGTTGTGATACTATGAATGAATGAATGAAGAGATAAACAAACTGTACAATGAAAATGAACATGACTGAATAGGGGTGTAACGGTTCACCAACATTTCGGTTTGGTAAGTACCTCGATTTTTAGGTCACGGTTCGGTACGTTTTCGGTACAGCAGAAAGAATGATCACAACACATAACATATTTTGTGGGGGTTTTTAATTATTATTAAACTGTGAATAATGTATTCACTCAAATAAATACAAAATAAACATTAAGGTGCAGCATTTCGATGAACTGAAATAATCTGTATTTGAACTTTACTGTATATTACTCACAAAACATCACATATTTGTTTGGGGTTTTTAATTATTATTAAACTGTGAATATTCACTCAAATAATACAAAATATAATAAAATAAACATTAAGGTGAAGCATTTTGATGAACTGAAATAATCTGTGTTTGAACTGTCCTGTACTAGTACCTAAGCAGCTAGTTTGACATTATGACTTGCTTGTCATTGTATTTTCATTTTTTTTTTAAAGAAAAATTAACTTGGCCACATTGCTTGCTGAAAAGGCAGATCTGATTGCACTAACAATGTCCTATGTATGTTCCTGCCTGTGCACATGACATAAGCTGCTGTTCATAACCAATTGCGTCTTGCGGGATTAATAAAGTTGTTGATTGAATCAATGTCTCCTGATGTGGAGAACACCCTCTCGCTAGGGACAGAGGTAGCAGATACAGCCAGGTAGCGCTTTGCTAACATGGCAACATAAGGATAAGGATATTTGGCGTTTGTAATAGCTTTGGCTCGGTCTGAACTCTTTGCGAGTGGTGGAGGCTTAAATGCTAGTGGGAGTTGGGTTTGCACTTCAGTCTTTTTTCTTTTGGTACCGGTGATATTCACGTTCGGGTGATGCCTTTTCAAATGAGTGTGCAAGTTTGATGTATTGCCAGCCGCGTAACCAATTTTAGTTGAACAATGCCGACAAACAGCTTTGGTTCGGTCCATCTGGCTTCGTCCGTCATCCTTGTACGTAACTGCGAAAGCAAAATGTTCCCAAACCGGAGACTTCAATGATGCTGGAGGATTTTCGAGCTCAGCTTTACCTGCGTTCGCCATTTCGACAGTTCCTCAAATTACTGACTAAATTTGAACGCATCCCTGTGACCAGCTCTCATAGTATGCCTCTCGTCCAATGAAATTACTTGCTCGCTCTATGACGCGTTGAACCCAATATGAGCAAAGTGCTCTGAATAATGCGACGCAGCACCTGAGATTACTTCCAAAAAGTTGTTCACGTTCTCAATTTTTTACGTTTAACGTAATACTCGTTCGGTACACACGTGTACCGAACCGAAGGGCCCGTAGGGTACGTGTACCGTAACACCCCTAATGTCGAGACACATGTATTGGAAAAGATGTGTTAGGCATGTATGTGAAAGGAGAAGTGAAGGAAACCTCTGGAGAAGGCATGAGGAATGGAAACACAGCAGGAAGTTGTGATGAAGGAAAATTCACACATCTCAGCTGATGATGCAGTAGTGAAATGACCACAAGGGAAATGTATTCATTCTCACTCCTGCATGCATAAAAGGAGCATGGCATCTAAGGACTTATACGTATATTAAAACATAACGCTCGTATATGGAATATTGAGTCCATTCAGCTGAATGTAAGAACGGTCAAATTGTTGTGTTTGCTCACTTATTTGCATGTGTGTCACTTTGACATTGTAAAGCCGACGGCTGACCTCTGGACCCTGATGTCACCACACCTGATATGACAGCAGTCCAAATGTCTGCTTACCTCTGACTGTGTTTGGATTACAACGTGCAGGGGGTTTCTGGCTTCACAGCAGTACAACAACACCATAAGACAGGGCACTGAAGCTAAAAATAGTCCTTTATAAAACTCCAAATGGAAAATATCCATTAAAAGGCCTGCGCCTTCAACATCAACCTGGCTGTGGCGTGTGAAATGAGGTCATCTACTATATATTTATACTTCCCTCTGTACTGCTGGCAGCTGTTATCGCTCTGAGTCTCCATTAATGTGTGAGACTCCCCTCTCTTCAAATCTCATTTGTGGTTTCAGTACTAAGCAAAATGTATGCTCAAACAAATAATCAGGCTAATTGGCTCAACACAAAATGCGGTTGGGTCTTGCTGGAATGGGCTATAGCCTTGGTGCATCCGTAAATCTGCCAAGTGCCGGTTGATAATGGGTATGTGTCTTCCTCCCATTGATTCTCTTGTCTTTGTGTAGCAGCAGGAACTGTACAATAAGGGGCCCCTTGCTGTAATGCAGCAGACTGCTCTGAGAGACGACGTTTAATTTCCTGATGAGTCTCAACAGCTTATCTGTTGTTAAAATACCACATTTAATGAATAACGGATAAAAATCCTCTGTCAGTTTAAGAATGCAACAACAACCAAACGCCAATTCAAAACTGTAATGAACCACAGCCATTGTATCACTGTCTTTTCAGTCTGTTTTGATATAGTCAAACAAATTAATTGGACCACCAAATATAAGATGTTTGTCAAATCCCTCAAACCAACAAACTGGAAAACCATGATAGAAAACGAAGAGCAATGTGTCAGCATACTATTTCAAAAAGGATTTTCAAGAAACCCTGTAAACTATTCATTACACAAAAAACTCAATGTCCATACAGTTTAACAAATTGTGCACCTGGTCCAACTGCTCAATATATGACCGCAGTAAAATGTTATAACCATGGATCCCTCAAACTGCCGAGTAGTATGACAGAAGAGGTATGTGTACAACATATTTATAAATTCTCACTTCCATGTCTGAACACAGCAAGACACCCCTGAGGAATGAAATGCAAGAGGGGTCAAATTAAAAGCACGGTCAGAGTTTAAAATGAAGTCTATAGTGTATCTCAGCAGCTCATCACAAAACATAGCACCCCACCTAAGCAATGCTGAAAATGCTGACAGTTACCACCTCACCCTCACGTCCTATTCACAGTTTTCTGTGAGTGTCATTATGTCAGCAAAGCAAAGCATCTCTAACTTCTGGAATCTGGGTCGTCTTCATTTTTTGTTGGTGACTTCACCTTCATGTCCCCCATGTCCTGGGAATGTCACAGAATATGTATTGACTGCCTTTTTCAAACTGCACTGGTGACCAGGGGGGACAAAAACCAACGCTAAAAAAAGGCAAAAGTAAATAGTTGCAAGAAAATAATAAATAAGGTGAAGTTATTACCTTCCAAACTAAAACAAAACACTTGTGGGATCTGCCAGCTGACACTCTTTGACTAGATAAAAGGATAAGTGACAATCTTTCATTGGACTGATATTTTACATAAAAAGTAGCTTGAAAAGTGTGGGCCTCTTTGGTGATGTTTGGTTTTGATAGTGCAAGTATCTTCTCCAAGACAAACACCTCTCACATGAGACAATTAAAGTAACTCTAATTTAACGTTGGTTTCAGCAGTGGCTGCAACTTTATTCAAATTCTGAATAAGATAACTTTGTGGCAGAACATGTCCCTATGAAGAGACAGCAACCCACAGAGTAATTGACGTGCTCTGAGTGCATCACTTTGCTGCAGCAGCCGGATGAACACGGATCATTTATTATGCCAAGCAATGAATTAGGTAATGTCTGTCATTAGCCTGTGCTGTAGGGGTCTGTTCAACTCCAAATGTCCGGATTCTTAAACCAACAAACCTCTCTCACCATAGGGACTGGACAGCTGAGTATTCTGTAAATCACCTTCAGTTTCTGTGAATGGCTGTTCTTGGTAAAAGCACTCAGACGCAAATCATCCTAAGAGCTTTGTCACTAACAGAGTGAACATCTGGCTCAGCTTTCAATCTGCAGCCGTTACAACCCGCTAGGCCGGTGAGGGTTATATGAGTGTTGGTAACTGTCAGATAACTTTATTAAATTACACAACTAGTCTTTGCTAAGAGGCTAATAGAAAAGATGGGCTATTAAACAACAACCCATCAGATAAAGGTAACATAATGTGATCAATTTGTAACTTGTGCTTTTGCAAAATTGTTTTTACAACTTTCATAACAACGTTTCTTTAGGAATGAATGCAGTATTCACAGCCTTGGCTAATACTCCAATACAATGGCCATCAGACACAAAAGTACCAAGCCCTCAAATTGTCAATCCAATGTAGCCAAATAAATTAGCAGGCCACCCTATTAGATCAGAGCCATTATCAAAACACAGAGGGACCACAGACTGAATAGGAAGTAAGCTCACACAGCCAAATATCTACACTGCCTGATCCACCTGAATACACAGGTGGGAAAAACACAATGACTACTAGTTAGCCTCATTACTGCTTGAGTAAATTGTGAAAGTACAAGATAAGTTCCCCACAATAACCATAATATGCTTGTTCAATGTCTCCTGTATTTTCACATAATGCTAAGAAGTTACTGGTTTAAATAATTAAAACTCTTATTTTAGAGAGGAGGTGTATACTAATTCTGAACCATGTTCAAAATCAAACCTTTCAATTGTTCAGGCAAGTATAGCAACCACTATAAATGGTTTGGGTAAAATAATATTCAAAAGCCTTTAGAGTTGGTTGCCATTTACAGACGTTTTCCCACAATCCATGCGGTCATTTGTAGGTTGACTGGCAGTTGCTGCTGGCAGCGGGTCAGTAATGATCGGTCAGCTGGAGCTCAGCCGGGGTCGGAGGTCAACCTCTGGGTTTCTGTCGGAAGGAGAGGCTGCCCTTCAACCAACCACTATCACAAAAAGAAACACTCATGCACAATGTCTGTTGACACAAAATAAAGAGGCCCTCTTGGAAAAACTGTACATTCTGCTCCCTTAAGGCTACACTTCAGTCGTGACTACCCCAATGACATTAATGAAGAACGTCCTGCATGATCTGTGGCTTTGCTTTGTTGTTATACTGGCAATAAGTACCAGCAAAGCATATCCTGTAATGGCTGAAGGTTGTAAAATCAGTGCAGCTGTGTTTCCATTGCTGAGTGCACTGAATAGACTGGCTGGCGGGAGGGACTTGCTTAATTTCACATTTGATAAAACTCGGGAGTGACTAAGAAAGCTTTTTTATCCTTTCTCTGTTAGAGAAATTAAGCATGCCTGTATTTTGAAAAGAAAGAGAGCTGCTGTTATCATATTAGCTATTTTTCGCAAGAAGTCAAAAACAGATAATGGGTCTAGTGATACACAGTTTGAGTCTGTTTCAAGTACTGTGCCGTTTGAACTTTGACCCATTTCTACATCATGCTCAGTCTGTAAAGCTGGTGTTTCTGATACATATCACACGTCATTAGATTATATAGGCTCCACAAATTGTATAGCTTTTTCGCTTATCTAAATGAAAATGCTTGACAAATTTAGTAAACAGCAAAACCAGTCAAAAAAATAGACTGTGTGAATGATCTGTGTTAAGCTATATTATATACCAGGACTAAATATAGGCTATGCCTATTAGATTGAAGAAAGCATAACATTGAAACACAGGGAATATGACTCAATTTGACTTTACCACAGCTTGAGAGATATTCCTCATTAGTGATATTAAAAATATAGACCGCATCAGCGCCACTACAGTAGAATACATTGAATAACCCATTTATTTAACTGATTATTGATTGTAAATGTAGACATAGCCCCAGGCACATACGGATCATATTCCTTTTCAAGATGTGTCAGTCCAAGCCCAAAAACTCTTACCTGAGAGAAGAGCACTACAGTCAACTTTTGGATTTGGAATACTGTTCTAAAAAATGCTATCAAAATCAAATATTTCCAGTAGATCAGATCCGCTGCAAAGCAGTCCGTGCAGGCGTGGCTGGGAAACATAAATCACCCAAGGACCCTTGATCAAACCAATGCTCTAACGTTATATCCGATATCACGACAAGGTTCACATTTACGAGGGGAACTCGCTTGTGGGATTCACTGCACACCCATGTGAGCCACAGCGATGATTTGCATTTATGCCCTTCGTTCACAAATGCCTGACCCGAATCACTCAATCATTCATCCGCACAATGAGAGAAAATAAACGGGCAAACTGAAAACAGGGCAGGCAGTTGAGTACAGTGTAGACTCAATAAATATAAACTCATCGTCTGCGATGTGCTCCACCCTGATTTTCCAGCCCTGTGCCAACAAACCGCATGAAGTCGCAGAGATGATGGCAGCTACAGCTGAGCATCCACCAGTGTGACAGCGCGGAGGGATAATTCTCAGGAGCATGTCATGTTAAAAAACTGCAGCAGGGTTTTGTGAAATTCCGTTACACTTATGTGCAAAGCAAATATACAAACCAGGCGAAGAATATAATCTGATACAGCAGTAGTGTGAAACTGTAGCGCCTGCACCGACAGACAACAACCTTTCCACCCACAATGATAGCAATAACATGTCCATCAGAGCTCACGTTAGATGCTAGTGGTACCGTCGTGTGATCTACATTATATTTAAGTGTCGCTGTTGTTGACAGGCTGCACTAACGCAACCCTAAACGATGCTAATTACTGATTATTACTAACTTGGGATGGACGCCAAATGCAGCTGTAATTTCCGATGGCCCTGACATATCTCACACACTGCCATGTTTGCACCTCGGTGCTCGCTGACAATTTTGGTCGACATGACGACAGTGCCAGCCGGTGTCTCAATGTTATCTATGGCCATTAGCTAATGTTAGCTAAAGTTAACGTTAGCTAAGTTAGCAGTCACAAAGTTAGCTCGTACGTTCACTCTAACAGCGACCAGAGCCTCGTAATATGCACTCAAGCTCAAATGGCTACAATTACCTTACAGAACTGCTAACGATGGCAGACCTGTTTTCAATATTGTTTATCTGGACTCAAGGATAAACTCCGCTGACAAGGTACCTGCTGCTCCAGTCCAAGCGGCCTATCCGCCATTTTGAGACATAAAAAGGAGGTGCAAAAATTACAGCCACATCGTCATTTTCCCCCACCTAACGCCAGATTCCTTCGACCCTGACCGGCTTCACAAGTGAAAACTATTTGGACTCACCCTATTGTTCCTGCCTGTGAATATCCTCAGCCGTCTTTAACGCTAACACGACCCGACAGGGCGTGAAATTTCCGCTCCAAAATATGATCTTGTGATGTGGAGGTAAAGTGTGCCCGTCTTGTCTCTACGCCGCTCCTCGCTTGTTTTTCGTAGGCTACCGCATTCGCCTTCAGACGGGAGCGCGCACGAGATCGCGTTCACGGTCTTACGGGAGCGCGCACGCCCTTGATAGCAGAACATTTTTCTGTTTTTAACTCTTTAATGACTTCTCAGCATCCCTGCACTTATAACTACATTATTGGTGTAAAGTAACAAAGTAGATTTACTTAAGAACTTAACTTGAGTATTTCAATGTTTTGCTACTTTGTACTTCTGCCAGTACTTTTCTTACTCGAGTAACCTTTTTTTTCTTCCGGGCAGGACTTTACTTGTAGGTTGTGTGTTTCATACTGGAAATGTACACTAAGCTAAATCTAATTTACAGTGTTGAAAGTAACAAGGAACTAGTTTAATGTTCAAGTAATCAGTAAAATAATCTTTCAAGGAAAATTGCGTACGTTAATATTGTAACGTTCACAGATGGAGTCGGAAACAGGCTTCTAGTTATTAGGCTTTAATAACTCTTATTTCTTAGGATCACAGATTCAGGAACAGGTACAGCTTGGGGTTTCCACCTTAAAAAACTACTACTCAACTCCCACACACACACCTATATATACCCGTGTCTACGTCACAACCTCCCCGCCCTCCCCCGTCCGCTCCCCAAACCGCAGTTCCGCACCTAGACCAGCATCCTGTGCAGCTCTGTGATTGGCCAAGAGACGGGGGATGCCTGAGTGACACCCTCAGCCTCCTATACAGGGTCGCTACAATATATATACAATTTCCACATCTGAGTTATCAAAACCCCAAACAACCTTATTTCCTAGTTTTATTGTATTCATTTTAATATAAAAGCAGACTCAAACCAGAATATAATAATATTATTTTGTAAAGGACAACACACACATACCATACATCAGGGGAAGCAGACTCAATACACTTGGCCTAAGAAGCTTTGCGTAGAAGAAATGTCAGCTGAGAAAACATAACAATCTTCATTTAGTACAATAAATGTAAAATAGTGGGCACCAGTTGGGGATTGATGACGTTATTACACAGACACACATTTAGGACCCATATCTGAAAATAAAAGGAATACTTTTGTCTCCATTCATTTGTCATTCTGGTTAATATGCATATTTCACACTGGTTTGTTTTCCTACATTTAGATTGCAAGTAGCCTAAGTGTGAATGGTAGGAAATTGTATGTGAAATAATATACTTAGTTTGGTCCTATACACCATACGTTTTCTTGTATTATCTGAAGCTATTGTCTAATAAAATGTAATACCATCTCAAATGTGTTAACACTAACAGCTGAACTATTCAAAACACACGTTAAACTGAACTCTGGGGCGAGCTATGACTAAATCCCTGTGTTGAAAGAGCAACAGTGTATCTCTGCAGATTTAAAACAATTAATATTTCTCAGTACGTTTATTGTATATCTTAAAGTACCAACACAATGGATATCCTGCTGTATAGAAACATATCAATAGGCTCGGAAAATGTTCAACAGGTAGTGTTGTTTTAATTGTGGGCCATATGGCTAATATTCTGGTGGGAAAATCAATTACCTCATTCTAGTTTTTGTCAAAGTCAACAGAAGCCTGTGTATATTTATGTGTAAGTGCACTGTAACATCTCCTGTCATTCAGGTCAATGAATGTCCTTTAAAATGAGACAAATGTAAGTGTGCCACCTTTTGGACTCTGTTGGTATTACTGTTTAGCAAGACGTATCAGCAAGGGAAATAGTAAATAAAAACAATTGACAGGAACCCCGAAAAACCAAATCAGTTGGTGTATTTTAAAAAATTGTTAAGTTATTACCCAGTATCACCCTGGTTTCATTCAGAAGCATGAAATTCTAAATGTCCCTTCTGTGGGACGAATGAAGGTATTCTGAAAATAGGCACAACACACACACACCACGCTGTGCTATTGATGTACGGTCATATTTTTGGAGCACAAACAGGGTTAGTACTAATAACTGATTCACCCAGACTATAGAGATCACCTCTTGTTTTTAATACCACTCTTAGTTTCAGGTAATTCAGCAAGTACAGAAAGGAGTCCATCTTGCATGTCTTGAGCCAAGTTCAAACTGCATTTTCGAAAAACAATCAGCTCCAGCACCAACTCTCTATTGCTTTAATCACATACATTTAGACACAGCAACAATTAAGTAACAAATTGCCATGGGAGGGAAACATTGCATGTATACAAGCGCAAACAAACCTTTATCAGTCTTTTTTTGGTACAGCACATTGAGGCAGCCCTTCTTTGCCCACTTTTGGATGTGCGGTGGACATGATCACATGTCCAAACTGCAAGAGAAAGTGATCTAAATGCTGCTCAATGAACAGACACTCCTGGCTGGTTTTTATCTCAGATACACATGAGAAGATGACCCAATAATGGAAAACAAAAAGAACAAAAACACCCAGCAACAATAAATCAGCCATTACTACCAATGCTGAACACCTGTCTAGTGATGATGAGTAATAATTTCTACCAATTCATACATAAACAGATTTACAACATTAGTGGCCATGAATGTTTTAAGAAAAGAGGCATCAGCCATCCAACAGGTTTATTACTATGAGTAGAAAAATAAAACATTTGGAAAGCCAATGTTTGCTTAGCCTCTATTCAAACTATGCAGCAGCAAAAGCAGCAGCAGCCCTGGCCGGTAGATGTTATGTTGGACTACACAAAGACACACACACTGTCACACATACAAACATACATGCACATATTCTTTCAATGTGTAAAAATAGAAGATTGAACACAGCTAGTATATAGATAGAGAAATGTACTGCTTAAAAGGTGGACCTTTTCAAATCTGTGTTTTCCATAAACAATCAAGTACCTGTCTAAACAACCGATAGAGATTTATACATGTTTTTCTCCACTTCTATACATTTTCTATAAAACAGACATGGCTTAAATTAATTAATTATTCATGATAACAGGCCTAAAATACCATTGCATTTCTCCTGTGCACTTTTACAAAACCCATTATATACTAAAATAAGAGGAAAAAAAAAGAATTCCAGCAAATTAAATCAAACCCATGATCAATCCCACTGTATTGGTTTGCTTGCTTGAAGGAACATGAACCAGAGCACACAGCAGGCACCCACCTGGGATGTTGAAAGTATAAATGACAGAAAGATTAAATGTGGTAACCATCGGTGATGTGCAGGCGGGACGGGTGTCTGCTGTAAAGTGGTTCAAAGAAGCCATGAAGAAGGGAATTTACATTCTGAAGCCCTACTTGAAAAATCTCAAATTTAGTGACTGTATTCTGGTCTTAGTGCACAAAAGTACCCCTGAGTTTTAGGACAGGGAAGATGCTTTGTCATTTAGAGCACCGTTGTGGGGGGTGGCTACATAACCGGGGGTCTATGAGGCTCTTTTGGGAATGGCGGAGGGGCAAAATATATGGTCCTGGGCTAACAGTGCTGTGGGAATTTTGAGCTGAGAAGAAACATTACTGGGGGAATACGGTGCAGTGGATAAGGCTCAGGTTTACAATGTCATGGTCATCCTTGGTCACCCACCCCTGCCTGCAACCACTCTTTTGTATGAGGTCATATTTCTAAAGCAGCCAACCCCTAAACGTGACTTCACATCACCAGGTTCTTGGACTGGGGATTTTTCAGATTGCATGTTACATTGACTTTAGGTTTGTACTTTCTCCTCCTTCCCTTCCTACCTTGTAGGAAAATCCCCGCTCTGTATTCCTCTTTCCTACAGTTCATACAGTTTGTTCTCTGGTCTCATCTGACCCTTCCCTCCCTGTTTATTTCAATGCTGATTTAGACCGCTCGGTTTCTGGGTCCACAGGCTCAGTGACATGGCTGTTTGGTCACGGCCTCTCCCCTCCCCCCCATAGCAGAAAGTAGCTGTGTTGAGGGCGTTGTACACTAATCAATGGGAATTTTGTCGTCCAGTTCCAGTGGCCTGTCCTCAGTGGCCTCTTCGAGCCTCCCCAGCTCCTGCAGCTGCTGCCGCCTCTGCACCTCTGCCTTCAGGTTCTCCAGATCCTTTTGGCTGAAATGCAATACCAAAAAAGAAAAAAGTCAATATCCGACTGCCTGTAGAGGCATTTCTGGTATAGATTAACCATTTGAATGGTTTGGTCTTTTATTTATAACCATACTCCGATATGTTATTTCCACAAAGGCCTCGAATATATTAAAAAGCTACTGTCGAGTTCACGTCTACAATGACTAATCGCTTAGCAGGCAGGCAGAAAATGTAATTGCATTTTCAGTAAGTTTTTTATGCAATTCAGCAGAAATTCTATTTTCAGCATCTCCAATCTAGATATTTAAATGTTTTTCCTTTTTTAGACCACTTTAAAACTACCGTAATTTTCGGACTATAAGCCGCGGCTTTTTCGACGCTGCGGCTTATATAACGGTGCGGCTAATCTATGGATTTTTACAGCTAACGGCCACCACTTTTAACTCTATGGGCTCTATGGCCGGTCCTCGGACCCCTACCTTTAAGCGGCGGGTTCCAGCAGGAAAAGCTGGAGGCCGGAAAAGAGTGAGACAGGTAGCGCGCAAAAGTAAAAGTGGAACCGAGAGTGGTACGAGAGAAAGAACGAGAGCAAGACAGACAGACATTACGAGAGCGAGACAGTTTGTCCCCGTACCACTGGTTGAAAACCACTGCTGTAGATCACTGCCGGTACGTGCCGTTTAAGTTTGAAAGTTGAAAAGTTTGTGTGTCTGAAACGCTATGTGATACAGTACAGTTTACACAGC